TATACACACTTCGGTCATTTTGAGACTAAAATATAATAATTCTCATTTTAATGCTTACGTTTGCAGTAATAGGCGGGGAATTTTGTCCGAACAGCGGCGTTTTCACTCGCCACCCATCATTATTCTTGAGAGAATAATCTCGATTTCGGGAATAAGGCAGGGAGTGGATGCAGCAGTTTCACACCACGCTGTCTTTTATTAAAGCACAACAGAGAAATGATTGTTTCTTTCTATTTAGTAGTACAGATCAACCTTGTATTGTTACAGAATGGACTCATATATCTTACTAGTTCAGGTGTTACCTGACACCTGATAAAATATCTTCTTGTCGATTAACTTGTATAATATATGTATGTATGTACAGATGTTATTATGTTGTTATAACTATTACAACTATCCACTATACCATTAGTCTCCGGTGTTGGCCGAGAAAGTTCCCGGGATTTTAAATAAGAAAATAAAATTTAACAATCTTCTTTTAGCGCTGTGATGTCCACTATGTAATATTGCTCTGTGGCGCTTCACATATTAAATTATAAACTAATTTAAGTTGCAAACGATATGCAAGATTGAACAAATGAGATATTAGGGCTTTCTTTTACATCATAAGGCAGTTTGTTCCATTCACAGGGAGATTCGTACTTAAATTCTCGTTAACCAAAACGAGTTCTGGTCGTAGTACAGATTAATTTATTATTTTGAGCTGATGATCTGAGCTTTCGGGGAGGTTTGTATGGATGTATGAGTTCCGTGAGATAGGCTGGTGAATTGGGATTGTTGAGGTTAGTTAAAAGTGAACATATTTATCTTGAAGGCTATACGATATTCAAGAGGTAGCCAGTTTACCTCAGATAGGATTGGAGATATATATTTCGCTCGGCAGACCATCCTTGCCACTTTGTTCTGAATTTTCTGTAGTTGATTGATATGACAGTCAGGTTAAGTGTATTAAAATAAATTGCAGTAATAAGGGGCAGATGGTTACAAACGCATTTATCAATAATTTGGTAGTTGATTTGTGTAGACTGTTTCTGATTTTACCGATTTTATACAGATAGAAATTTAGCTTCCTGGACACTTCTGACACATGATGCTTCAAATTTAGATTGCAATCCAAATTAACGCCAAGATTTCTAACCATATTTTCCGGCGTGGTTTCCCCTTGTCAGTAGTGCAGGACGGAGGAAATTGTCTAGAGATCCTGTGTACACATTGGTATACACGTAAAATAATTCGAAATAAGAGTAGACTGTAGCGCCGCTTAAATTTCACTCATAGAACACTTTATTCGTTCGTTCGTTCCCGGTGCTTAAGATCCGCTTCCACCTAGGGTGATATCTCAGACAAGTACACTGTATGGTGTATGTCCGTCTTTACTAACCCAGTCGGTACAGAAAGGTGGGCCGGTAACCCCATTTCATTTCATTTCTTCTACAATCATCAATTTCTGGCGTTTGCCGCGGAATGTAGGTAAAGCAACTTATAAATCAATATGGCTCTTTTACTTTCTACATAAATCAAAGACACTACTCACTTATTCCTGGCTTTATCTCAAGAATAATGAGGTGACACCATGTCACACAATTATATATGTACCTGGGTCATATATATTATATTACCGTCATATATCATGATAATTATCACCGTATTCTAAAAAAAACATTAGACGAAATACAGTAAGCATTTGATAACGTGTTTTCTTAAAATAACACAATTCACAAAAGACCAAAAATAGGAGAATATGATTTATGCTCAGTTTATCAGATCGTCTACCTGTCATGTGATAAATGCTGTATTTACACCATTTCTATTTTCATCATGAAAGGTGTGTGTATGTACCTATGGAGATAAAGATCGTTAGTCAAATTACTCAGAAAATAACAACTAAATCGATCATATCACAAATCACTGTTCGCTTCAGCAAGTAAGAAATTCTAAGAGAGGTAATAATAGTGTTTAGTCAAAATATTTCAAGTATTTCGGATTGTCAACCAATTTTTCTTTTCAAAAAACTAAATCAAATCATATTATCAAAAACCCCTATTCACTTCAAAGAGTAATAAAGTGTTTAGGATAGAGAGAGAGTAGGAGAGAGAGAGAGAGAGAGAGAGAGAGAGAGAGAGAGAGAGAGAGAGAGAGAGAGTTTAACGTCCACTCGACACAAATTAGGTCATTTCGGGACTAACACATGGTTCAATTTTATTTCAATAATTCGCTAACGCGTAGGCGTCTTTAGCAGTGGGAGGAGGAAACCGGAGGTCCAGAAGAAAACCCACGGGGTTGGACAGGCGCCCCTACTCCTTATCACGTACTGCCAGGGAATCGAAACCCCGCCAATTGACTCAATGACAGACCGTATGATACAGCCACGTGCTAACCTTTCGGCCATCCAGCCCCCGAGGGTAGGAGAAATACAATACTTTACTTGCGTATTACTTCTGTTAAAGGGCGTATGGCTCTATTTTTTGGACCCTTATAACAAACGAAAATCGATCTAAAAGCACATCAAGATTAATAAAGTGATTTATATGCAATTTTTGATTTTTTTTATTATTATTATTTTCTAGTCAATTATGTTTAGTGTAATACGCGAACAACCCAAATTGAACGACAGTCGTTTACGACTGCTTAGTCCATTCTTCACCCTTTTTTAAATTATTATTGTGTTGTTTGTGAATCGAATCCACAGAATACACGACTCGTGTAGTGATTATAAAATATTCACTGTGTCTTAAATATTGGATATTAGGATCCCATATTTTCACGGCAAGATAACAACATCAATATTGATTGAAATTCGTATTTATAATTTTAAATATTATGGAAAATATTAAGTTAAAGATTTAGCTTCCTTAATATGCATCTAAAATGCATTCCGCCATTATTGCCCCCGTAACCACTTGCCATGATTTGATACCATGTGTCACTAGGCTGATTTGTAATAGAAATAATGTCCCGTGTCCTGTTCGTTTAGCTGCCCTTATGAAAAAATAATCATTGTTATATTTGTATTAATTTTGACAACTTACATTTGTATGTCAATGCCAATGTGTTTTCTATTAACTTTGGCATTTTCATTTGTCTGTGTTGTTCGGTGAAACATTGTCTATTAACAAACCGTTTTCCATTTTCATTTAGTCATCTGAAAGCGATTGCGAAAGAAACCGAAACTTCTTTTCCAGACAAATGGGAGCTTATCAGCCTTCTGATCATCTCGACTGTCATGTCAATTACATTATTATATCGTTTTCCCTAAACATTAACAATCCTTAATCTATTTATATACATACATTTCATAAACATCATTATCGTTAACGACGACAGTAAAATACCAGACTTCCAGAAGACCTTATCGACACAATACCACACTATTCACATTAGGCTTCACGAACGTCACTGCATTCTTTCTTTGTAAAGGTGCATACAAAAACGAAAGAGGCCACACTTCCAAGAGATTGTTTAATGCATGTTTGACATTCTATGCCCTAGATTTTGAAAGCGTACCAGGGATATAATTTTTGTACAGGATAGGTTTCCTGAACGTGATCACTTTAACATACATAAACCCTTGTATGTGTTGTTTCATTAATAGTTTGACAATTGTTATGGTTAGTTACACTGGATCATTGGGATAGGATATGACGTTAGTTAATTACAGAGTAAGGTTAGAAAATTTTAAGTTCGTCTAGTCTCACTGGGCACATCAGTTATATAAACCACTCCGGATGGTGACGATTAATTGGCATGTGCACCAAACCGATAACGGTCCTAAATGGCGCATTAACTTTTCACAATCCGGACTATGCGGGGGGGGGGGCAGTATAACAACGCAACTACTAAAACAAGAAAATTTAAGTATAAACTATGAGCGGCATTCTAAAGATGATATAGTCATGTTGAATGATTTTTACGACATGTTCGTGTCTTCTATCATCGCATTTATGTGTTTACCTGATGTCTCTGTGTTTACCAACGCTAATGTTTCTGTGTTTACCAACACTGATATTCTATTATAATGTTGTAGTCCATGAAGGGTAGTTGTCTTTTCGAAACAACCGCTACTATTTTACGGTAAGAAAATATGTGCCTTTAATGACGCTCATGCACCGTAACACTAATTTGTCTTTTGATTTGATTTCCTTTTAGGATATATTTTTTTTTATAAACACGTCTAGTGTTGGTAAACTGGGGGTGGGGGTTGGTGATAGGTGTTTAACAATTAACAATGCACACGTTATAAATAGACCTAGTATAGACAAATGGATTTAAGGAAATATCTAAGGAATTTAACTCAATGTTTGCATGTTTATTTTGGGTCCAGCGCGGACCAGAAAGAGACGTATATATAGTTCGTGTAAATATCAGTTGATGTATATCGAGTAGACCCGTGCCTTATTTGCACTGTATTTAGAAATAGAAATTCTGACTTACATGTAGTGATAATATAGCTTTGAAGTACCTTATCACCACATCATACTAATTAAACAACTATTTGCAGTAAATAGATTGTATATTGAAGTAAGTTTAGTCAGCTTAAAAATATATGTGCAACCTTTCAGTTTATAGAACAAAAATTGTACTATGGACGATTTTGTTGATAACATTGGATGGGATACATGGAATCGGTTTAATAAACCCGTACCCGATATGGACCGGGACCACCTCACTTCAGGTAGCATCTATTGTCCCAGGACAGAGCAAGGTTCGATATATCTACACTGGTGAGAGTGTACCTGTATTGTCTCAGATTTGCACGAGTAATCCACTGTTCCGTCCTAGTAGTTTATTAATCATGAGGTATTGTCCAGTGGCGAGGAAACAGAGGTGCCCAGATTCAGATGGATGATGCTCGATCATGAAGCGAACACTCGAGGGGTATGTTTGCTAAGGAAAGATCGAGTAATGTTCACCCAAGATAGGTTTGGGTTCATTTATTCCAATCCCCGTGAATTTGATACAAGTTCTGAGGTACTGATTTGCATGTACTTGATTTATTTCAGCAGACACGACCAGGATGGTGAGAGCGATGTTGATGCTGATACATGAGTGATAAAGAGAAGATTATCAATATGAAAGGACCAATACACCTAGTTGTATTGGGAAAGGAAGGTGTTGGTAAAACAGGTGGGTCATTAACGTTTGCTTATATTAACATCACTACGTAATCCAAGGTTGGCAATATGGGCGACAAAATCCAGGGTTACCACCAAGGACATCATAATACAAGATTACTACAAGCGAGCACGGAATACAAGGTTACTACAAGGGACCACGGAATATTAAGTTACTACAAGGAATCACGGAATACAAGATTACTACAAGCGATCACGGAATGCAAGGTTACTACAATGGACCACGGAATACAAGGTTGCTACAAACGACCACGAGGGACCACGGAATCCGCCAATATATCTCTTGTCAGTGGTGCGGGATGGGTGGAACGAACAACCAAGGTCCCCTATGCACTTTTAAGTACACGTCAAAAAAGGTAGGCGGAAACACCGCTGTCCGGGCAAATTATGCTTCATGCCTCATTGCATGGCGTATGTAGTCTTCAGTCAGGTATGTACAGAAAAGTATGACGTCATTCCATTTTAAATATAATATTTTAACATTTCAGCACTTGTAGTGAGATTTTTAACTAAAAGATATTTAAGTGAATATGCCCAAACAGAAGAGGCGATATATGAAAGAAGTTTGTCTGTGGATGAAAGGAATACAGCTTTAAGAATCACAGATATAAGTGGAAAGGTATCAAATACAAAGATAATATTATATCACACATCGTATATTTAATAGAATAAGAAACATCATAAAAATAATATGATAAAGATAAACGTCACGTAGCAAAGTGCCAACTTGGCTTTTCTACGAGCAATCACTACACAGCAACATCTTCACTGAGTTCTGTAATTCTCTCCCCTATTTGTAACGACAAAAAGCCCGACAAGTTATAACCATCTGATTGAAGGACGTTGACCATTTCGATTTTTAACATTCCAATGGTCTTAATCGTTATAACGACAAAGAGCCCAACATGAAAACAGACAAACAAAGCAATTACTATGATTAGATGAACTGCATTCATTAATCAGTGGAAATAATTACTAGTCTAAATCCATATGACTCTGATAAATATAACCTCATTTTAACAACTACTTTAATTTCATGCAGATACGGCTCAATGTATGCATATTTCTGTTTAAACATATTTTTTTACGCCCACATTTTCATGTGGACGTCGCCCCTGCCCGTCCGTCCAGACGTCCGTTCATCCACAATTTGTTTTTGGACACTCTAGATGTCACATTTTTTTAAATTAAAATATAGGTCTGTCTCCCAAGGATTTCGGTATCTTCCGATATTGGCACATATCGGACCATAACTTCAGGAATTATGGCCCCTGATTGTACGAAAAATCACTCTGAAAGTCACAATTTTCATCTGATTTTGATGACCAATTTTGATCCGATATTGATGAAACTTGAAATACATGTTAATAACCCAAGGATCTTTGGTTCCTGTCGATATTCGCGCATATCGGATCGTAACTTCCTGAATTATGGCCCTTGATTGTACGAAAAATCGCTTTTTTTAGCTTGTTCTCTATCCATCTCTTGCAAAATATGGGCGTATCCTGCCTGCCAACCGCTGGTTTAAATAAACAAAGAGAATAAACCATGGTATTTGTGACATTGAAAATGGTAAAAAGGGCTTGATTATAATAAATGAAGACTATAGTTAGTACCGGGTTGCTGCATCGATATATTACCTTTATCAGAGCTATGTTGAGATTGTTGTTCTTTAGCATTAATGGTTTTTTTGTGGGATGGCAATCTGCCTTCGTTCAAATTTAATAAACTAAAACTACTAATAACCCGCTTCATATATCGGAACAAAAATAATTTATATTGATCCAAGTTAAAGAGGCCCCTGCACTAAATGTAAAACTAAAATGATTTGTCTTGCGATACAGCGTACCACACTAGAGAAATAAAAATACCAGAGCAACCATCAGAAAATATGGAGACAGCCTCTTTTTCATTCTGATTAAAATACAGTTCTATATTTCGTTTCGTTTTTTATATACTTTCGATGGTCTACACTACATGTGAAGATCTTACCAGTTATAGCGGTTTTTAACCCTATGGCTTCAGACATTGATTAATCAATCAGCGTTGACGTTTCTAGTGGTTTGCCCACAGTTCCATGCATCGGACGCCAAAAAGTCACCGTAACAGATGGTTTCATTGGCTAATACCCCACGCCACCCCCCAATCAGGTTATATAACAACTCTTCCAGATCCTGGATTAGTTCAGACAAATAAAACGAAATTTTGAACTATAAAAAACGAAACGAAAAAGGATTTGTGTTTAATCAGATTGCTTCTTTTTAAGAAATCAATTGTCCTGGAATTTTCAGACCATAGGAAAATAATACTTTGGGTTTGTAAAGTCGTTTGGTTTTCTTTTTTTATTTATTTATTTATATCTATTTTTAGGATGTAGAGAGAAAGGCAGCTAACAAAGAAATATTAAATAAAGTTGATGGTGTGATAGTTGTATATTCTATAATAGATAGACATAGTTTTGATGTAGCAAAAAATATCATACATTGGTTACAGCGAGAGCGTCGACCAGCCCCTGCCATTCCAGTTTTACTACTTGGTAACAAATGTGACTTGGGACACAGACGGTAAGTATTATATCTACCATCGGGAAATGGATAGGAGCCGCAGTGGCTTAGTGAGTAAAAGTTGGCTCGCTAACCCGGAGATCCCATGTTTGATCGCGGTATGGGCCAAGAAAATTTCATCCTGTTTTCCGTCGTGGTTCAGACTTGTGCTAAGACAACGTATAATCGTTCGGATGTGTGCACGTACAAGAAGCCTTGGAAGTTGGAATTTGACATAAGTGAAGGCTTTAGCGCCACTGTCCGGGCAAAATTCCCCGTCTTCATAATCCCAGTCGAAGCAGATGAGTAAGACGTCAAACCCCATTTTATTTCATTTCATTTCGCATCATGAATTTCAAATTATAATTCAACCACCCGATTTTCATTTACCCAAAGAGTTATACTTATGACTTTGTTCCATACAATACAATAAAACAATTGGGAATCGCATTGTCCACGGATAGCGTTACATGCCGTATTTATGTTGACGGCATACTTGTTTTGTAAAATTTGATGGTGAATACTTAATCTATATAACATTCTCTTACAAAACCCAAACTTTCAAAAATATTGTCTAACTAGAAGATATAAAATCGGTACACCAAAAATCGAGTCCCAGAACTTGTAAATGGGTACACCGATTCAAAAGGTCATATCTCAGTCAATATAAATGCTAAAGTCAAATAAGTTGGTATGTAACAATTTTTTTTTTCATAATATTCTTATGAAGTTACCTGACAAGCACTGGTCCACTTGACATGGAATCACGCAGGTCTTTTAGTATGATGGATACAAATACAATTGTTTTATAAATTAAGATCTAGCTGTGGCCCAAATGCTCGAAAATGTCCAAGATGAACTTGTGCTTTAAATGTCAGTGACCTCGGTGTTTGTAGGGATAGGACACGAGACTCAGACAGGAATGTCTCGAATTCGATATACGGAGAGGACCTAGAAGAAAGCCTTTTTAATGAAAGTAAAACATTCCTTGGTATTAGAAAACGACACTGGTCGGGAAAAATCACCCCACTATTACAAATAACAATATGCGTTGCAGTGACCATGTTGGCGAAAGAAAGTTAAACTCTGCTATTTAAGTGTGAATTTTCTGCTTTAGTTTTATTAAAGAGTACTTAAATTTTAAATCAGCCGAGGCGTTACAGTTTAGCCGTTTAAAATGGAAGTATTACAATTGCATTTATTGCATATTGATCTTTATGTCACGTTTGTAAAAAGATTAACCATATATAACGAAGAGAGAAATGCCAAAGTTATTGGCTTTTAGTGTCTGTTTGTTAAGGGCAAAACAGTTTAAAATTTTCGAATTAGGAGTACTGTCTAACCTGTTTCTATCTCACATTCACCTTTGATAAAGTTATTCCACGAAATCATTCACCCTCGTTGGGAATATTAGTCATATTATAAGACAGAATATAATTGTATCGGAAAGGTACAAATAAATGAGGCATTTATTGTATATCTCATTATAAATAACTAAAAGTTACAATAAGCATGTGTTAATGGGCATCCATTATATTGATAAACAGTGCCACCTGTTGGTAAGGATAAGATACACAGTGTTATTAAGGTACCATGGTTATTTTAATTCAGACTTACGTGACGTATGTAATCTATGTGTTCTATTTTAGTTCAAGCACCTATTCACGTTCTAATCTTACATCTCAAAAGTCCCAAAAGTGCCAACATAGTGCGTTTAACTATGCAGATAGATATTTAATATACTGGTTTATGACCACAATACACCATTTATTTCCCCATTGACTCTAATGTTAATTATCGTCTCTTCTACCACAGATGGAGCAAGATGTGGCAACCTCCTGCTCAAAACGATGTATAGGTTCACCGTAAAAATTTTGAGACAACTGAAGTAGCGTAATTGTCGGTCCTACATTTAAACGTAACCAACCTCTTAACACTCCTATTCTTCCGTCTGAAACTCATGAATATTTACAAAACAAAAACTAATAGAAAATGTATATTCAAACCCTTTTCTCGACTCTAAACCTAAAAGTCAACAAAAATCGCCATGCAAAGAGAAGAAAGGTGAAAGGTAGAGAAAGGCTGTTTATAACATTTGCACTATATTCGTGTAGGAATTAATGGTGTCCTGTTTACAATATGACACAGCGATGGACACCTTTACTCATTCGTCACATACAGGTATATTTTGGTCCGATCCCGCACATAGTATTTTCACTCCCGCATTAAAATATTTAACATCAATTGTCGCATAAATATCGATCAATAGGCCAATATCCCGATGACGAATCAGGCTCTCCACATAATATTGAGATACTATTGACGAGACAAACTGACAAATTTTGATATATATATACTTAAAAGTCGTGTGGCACCTATCCCTTTTTCAGCAAACAAAACAGCAGAGATAGGGAATGTTGAAATTAAAAACAACTGTTTTCACAAAATATCACCAGATTTTGTTTCAATTCCTACTTGATGATATACTTGGACTGAACTGTATATATATAATTTTTTTTCATATATACTTTGCTAGGGCTAAGCCCCTTTAAATTTCCTATAATATAATGCATTATCAGGTGGATAACGATAAATATGGACAGCATTACATAATACCTAGGAGATGTGTGTTTAGAAAATACATAAAGAACATTACCGGCTTGGAAACAGATAAGCTATAAACACCGAACACCTGGGCATTATGGTTGCATTAGGCTGTACTTAGCCAACCCTAAATAAGATAGTTACGTCATTCTCGATCACCGGCTCATCGTGTCCAGGTCGACCGTCTCAGAATTTTAGTAACCATTAACATTCGAGGTTAGTTTATAGGCCCAGAATGGACGGCGGTTATATACATTCTAAACAAACACAATAAAAGTTGTAGTCTACCGTACAGCATATTGGTCCAAAGACCATTAAAATCGATATATTAACGGAACTTATGGCAAATTCAACAACCACTGTGCCATTTGGGTCGATATTACTCAACAAAATTCAGAAATCAAAATATTAAGACATGAATCGCCTTGGTGGAGTTAAATTTCGAAGTTCAATATTTCACACCATAAACTGGAAAAAAAAGGGAATTTTAAATTTATCCCATTTCTGTTTGTGTCAGCTACGCATCAAATTGTCTTAGAAGTGTGCAATGCAACACACTATTTTTAAACATTTCATATATAAAAACCAAAACAACAATTTGTGTATGAAACTGTTAGAAGCACTTATAAATTTAATTGCTCGGGAATTAAAAACAAACACATATGCAGGGTATCTTTAGATATATTGCTGGGACCAGTAAGCCATTTGATAACTTCAAACAGAAAACAATCTGATTCACCATAATTATACACAAGAACCAAATTTGACTATTTTAATGTGCATATCAAACCCAGGGAGAGCTGCCAAGATATCATCATCTGGGTCGTGTAAAACAGTAAACATCACGTGACCGCGATTTCAGTTACATAGTACATAGTACACTAAAATACTCCAACGAAGAAAGAGAGGGGGAAAGAGGTGGGGTTTAAAGTCCACTCGACACGAATTAGGTTATTTCGGGAAAAATATATGGTTCAATTTTATTTTATTAGTTCGCTTGCGCGTAGGGGTCGTTAGCAGAGGGAGGAAACCGAAGGACTCGGAGAAAATACACGACGTTGGAAAGGCGACTCTACTCCTTGCCACTTACAAGCGGGGAATCGAACCCATGCCTCTAGACTCAATGATGCATCGCGCAGGCCACCCAACACCAATACTCCAACAAATCTTCTCCCTTACGCAAATATGGATTCCATTTACTTTCCGCAGCGAAGCCAGGATAAAATGCATCCATTAAGACTATTGGGTACCCCTATGATGTAGACTTTATAGGATGCAGATACTCAGTGATGTACTTTTCGAAGGACAATAATAGTCTCTTGATAATCGATTTAACTCATATCAGATGGAAAAAGGTTCAAAGTTCACAGGGCACAATTTCTTACTGAACAACGTTCTGACAAGGATTCTCATGTTTGTATCATTGTTCGACAGCGAATCGTTCCCCAGTAATAAACTGAAATGAAATGGGATTGAACGTCCTACTACTGTTCTGTTCCGACTGGACTAATGAAGACGGGCATACGCCATACAGTGTGTCATGATGGAAATTTTACCCGGACAGCGGCGCTACGGCCTACTCTTATATCGAATTCCGACTGCTAAGGGATCTGATCTTTTACACTGGACCTCGGTTTTTCATCCGAACGACAAGACAGCTGTCTTTGTCAGGCCCTCCCGTCCTACACTACTACAAGGAAAAACCACGCCGGAAAACCCGATGAACTGTCTCGGCCAACACCGGGAGCGAACCTGCGACCTCCAGGCTAGCGAGCCAGCTTCTTATCCACTTAGCCACCGTGGCTTTCCACAGTAATAAACAATAATTGTATTACATAGAATTGTGTCCTATGAAAAAGATACGTAATAAACAGTAACTGGTTTGTTCAGATATTGAAAATATATTTGATTGTACTATTTTTAGGGTGGTGGAAAGTCCTGGTTTAGACAGTCCTGATTGGCAGGAATCTGACTCCTTTCTTCGATTTGAATGTTCTGCTTGTGATGACGTAGATGGTGTTGATGACGTGTTTACAAAATTCATAAGAAAAGTAAGTAATGGCTGTTCTTCATTAACTGTAATATTTTGAAAACACCACCATCTGTAATGTCCCAGGCTAAAGACAGTTGATTCCAGGGTTTAAGTTTCAAATAAAAATTCACCTGAGTGATAATACGTCAGATATGAGGTCATAATGTCAAGTCTTAACTTATTCATAGATTGACATCCCCAACCAACAACCCAGATGGTCTTATTTGATGGTTAACGCGTGTGTGTTACATCATAATGTCAAGTGGCGTGATTTCGATTTCCCCGCCTCTACGTGACAAGGTGTAGGGTCGCCTGTGTTAGTCCCAAAATGACCTAATTTGTGTCGAATGGACGTTAACGCCACCCCCTCTCTCTCTCTCTCTCTGTCTCTCTCTCTCTTTCCCCGTGGAGCTAACGCCATCCATACGGGATCTAGGTGCGGATCGCGTTCTCTCCCTTCCCGTGGACAGTTCATATGCGACCGGAATCAAAGACTACATCTTGGCGAAGCAAGATTGGTTCTTCTAGTTACATAGTTTATGGAGTAGTATATCTTGAAGATGGTAAACACTATCTGTTCTCCGATTTGACACACTGTTATTGGAAAAAACATTACCGACCAAATGAGGGTGAGCTGGGGGTTGGATGACCGAATGGTTAGCACGTGCGCGCTGTATCATTAGGTCTGTCATTGAGTCAGCGGACGTAATTTCGATTTCCCGGTTGTACGTGAGGTGTAGGGTTGCCAGTCCAACCTCGTGGGGTTTTTCTGGGTCCTCCGGTTTCCTCCCACTGCTAAAGACCCCTACGCGCAAGCGAATTATTGAAATAAAATTGAACCATGCGTTAGTCCCGAAATGACCTAATTTGTGTCGAGTGGACGTTAAACCCCATTTCTCTCTCTCTCCCTCTGGTATAAATATAACTGCCATACAAACAAATGTGAAACGAAAGTAGGAAATGAACTATGTTTATCTAGACTGATATTTTAAAAATAAAACAGTACAGTTATGAAATAACCTATAGACAGGGCTGATAATGAGACAATATGAAATAGACAGGGGTGATAATAAGACGATATGAAATAGACAGGGGTGATAATAAGACGATATGAAATAGAAAAGAGTGATAATAAGACAATATGAAATAGACAAGGGTGATAATAAATATGAAATAACCTATAGACAGGGGTGATAATAAGACAATATGAAATAGACAAGGGTGATAATAAATATGAAATAACCTATAGACAGGGGTGACAATAAGACAATATGAAATAGACAAGGGTGATAATAAATATGCAATTTATAACCAATACAATATGTTTCTTTACAGATACAGGAAAAGAGAGACCCTTCTAGCAAACCACAGAGAAAAGTTAATCACTCGTCCGGACTCGGATCGCCGACGCAACTTCGTGCTGCCATCAGACGGCGTTTCAGTGTTTTTAATCGTGATCGAACAACATTATGAAATCATGTGACCAAACGTGAATGCTAGGCCGTATTCTAATAGCCCCCATGTCTACGTTTTATTTAAATACAGAAATTAAACTGTTTTCGTGTATGGGTTCCTCATTGATAGCTTATGGATGAAATTATTTAAAATAGATGTGTCTGTATGAACAGTTTATTGGAATACATTATACGAGAAAGAAATTTGATTATATACTGTTGAACGGTCTTGTAATGTTGATATTCTATATAAACTGTCACCGAAAAACAGGCTGTCATACAGATATAATGAAATTATTTAAACTGTGAAAATTTCCAATCTGCCAACTTACAGCGAACACTATAAAGTTGTTTTTACTTCAGATAAAAGTCGTTTCATTATGATAAGAAATCAGGAGTTATTTCCCATAAAACTATATTCATTAGACTAAGTAAACAGAGAGAGAGAGAGAAAGAGAGAGAGAGAGAAAGAGAGAGAGAGAGAGAGAGTACATAAACTATGTTATTTCGGAAGTAATATTTGGTACAGTTTTATTTCAATAATTCGCATGCGTGCATGGATTTTTCTTTAGCTTTGAAACAAAATTGGACGACCCGGAGAAAATCCACGTCAGACCATACCAGTCACCTACTCGGCCATGTCTATTAAGGTGTTTCATTAGTATTTGTTTATGTGTGTTTTTGGTCAACGCCATCTATGGGAGAAGACTGTCTGCGACGTCATCAAAAATATAAAACCTGGACTACAAAACAAATCAAATAATATATAAAAAGATAATTATTTCTTTGTAGTTTTTGATGAAATAATTTTATATATTATTGATGTAAATATGTAATTATTATGTTGCATTTAATATATATTTATAGTAACGCCATGACGTTACGTCTATTGTTCTACGTAATCTTTCATAAATAAAAATGGCTGTGTTCGAGTCCGACTTGTGTGTTTTTTTTCTTATTATTCTATTTCATTTTCTTTTTCTCTCATTTAAGTAAGTTTTTCTCCATTTTCAGTTATTTTTGCACATGTCAAACGACGGAAATACTATATACCGGAAAACACCATTTTATACTGAATACCGGAAAACACCGGAAAAACACTAAATACCGGAAAACACACTAAATACCGGAAAATGCCCTAAACAGGTAACCCGGAGACTGGCTCCCTAAATAGGTAACCGGGAGCCTGGTCCTCTGTGTGCCTGGGTTAGGGTTAGGGTTAGTTTCCGGTTTATAGTATAGCCCTTCTCCGGGTTACCTATATAGGGTGGTTTCGGATATTTAGTGTGTTTTCCGGTAGTTAGTGTTTTTCCGGTGTTTTCCGGTATTCAGCATAACATGGTGTTTTCCGTTAGTTTTCCGGTATATAGTATAGCCCGTCAAACGACGACAAAGTCGGACTTTTAAATAACCCACTTCCGTTCTTATGCAATAGAGTTGGGTCGGAGCGTTCTCCTCGTCTCTCATGGTGGGTTACAGTTAGGTCATCTCATCTCAACTTTAAATGTAAAAAAGTTTGACTAATATCAACATAAAAAATATCCTTGATAGTCTCGACTGTAGCTAAGCAGTAAGTACAAATGTTTGGACGGGGAGGGGAAGTGGTGGTGGGTCTTGCGGGGGTATACTATTACTACTAATGATGAAGCTAAAAGTTGCCTAAGACTCATACACGGTAAATGTAACGTAAATGAGCCATGGAGCGAACGAATCGACAAAATAACTTGTCAAATTGCATAAATCTGACAACATTGTTTACTTTGAATAGAACTTCAAACTTTCAACCGATCAGAGGCCGAATAGATGTGGAATTCGCGTCCGGGAAACACACTGATTAGACTTCCAGCATTTAAATGGTCAAACATGAATTTTATTATAATATTAAGAATTTATTTGACAGACATATATTTATGTGTACAGAAGAAGAATTTGAGGAGTGCTCTCGGTAAATTTAGACTTAGCCCATATAAACTCCTACTCCTCGCAGTGTTTCGTTTGATTAGACCTAATCCCACTCAAACACTGCCGTAACGAAAGCAAATTTCTGTTCCAAATTATGACTGGCCAATAGCCCGATTAACAACCAATCCTTAACTGCGTAACAATATCATTCAGGTTTAAACAGAGCTCAATTGATATGTTTACATAACGTTACGTCATGAATCACGAGATTTATTACGCCTAGGACCGGAGGAAGCATTTCTTGATAGGGGTCAGGGGCTACTATCCTAGGACGTTGGACGAGTGTCCAGGGGTCGCCTAGGCCCCGGAAGCTCCTGGGGATCTAGAAACACTTTCTGGCTAATGAAATTACTCAGCAATGTTTCAAAATCCCTTACCATGCAAGCACATTCGATGGTGGCTTTTTGTGATGCTGAACTTGACAAATATACTAAACAGCAAAAAAAAAAACAACAAAAAAAAAACGTCAGTACGATTTCAAAATCAGAGAGTCACTTTAAATAAATCATTCTAGAAAACGACTTCCTAAATGGATCAAAGCAATTTTTGGTGAACAGTATGTTGACACATTAGTGATTAATTACATCAAAATTCCAAGACATTACGAGAAGGTTTAGAGTCTACGGCAATGGATGTTCTCTCTGGTGAGACGTCGGCGCTCTGTATCGGTACGGATGCGTCTTCCGTGTGTTCCCACTGTCTGACGTGCTGTCTCAGATGCCTGCGTGAAGGGATTCTGCATGTGCTTTCGCACAACATGGCGATCTTGTCGCCTTGTGGTAATCCTTGGTCTACCAATTCGGGGGCGATCATCCGTGGTGTTGGTGGCCCGAAAGCCTTGCTGAAGCCTGTAGATGATCCGAACATTGACCTGGAAGTGATTGGAAACGGCTTGGGCAGTGTGGCCAACGTCGATTCTTCCAATCGCTTGGTTCCTCTGAGCTATCTTGCGTAGTGGCATGCTACTGACGTTGTAGTGTGAATGATTCAACCGGTTAAGGGCTGCATTTTATAGGGCTGGTCTCGGTGAACAGCACGTAAAGCATCGAGTTACATGAAAATCATGGAGAACACATTACCATCTCAGAAGTCAGGTTGCGTTTTTGAGAACATCTCCTGGGTTCAATTCTGTGTTTCGGAAGGAGCCTTATTGCTCAGGTAAAGTTGAAGATGTGGTCACAAATATAAAATAAAAACATTTGCAATGCGTCTATTCAGAGTAACATACCAACCTGCCGTCTCTTTTGCTGCTTAGAATATATGCATAATAATTCCAAGGATGTGGACTCTCTAGAGGTCACAATTTTTATACGATTGATGCAATTGACAATGTATGTTTATAACCGAAAGATCTCGACAGTTTTTATTTAATTGTCAAAACCGTTCAAATATATCACCGTTGCACCATAATTACGGCCGAGTTCAAATTTCGTGAAAATCGGACCGAAACTGCCCGACAAAATGGCCGCTACCCTTAAAAGCATGTAATACCCAGGTTGTGGGCCAGAAGTTCGAATTTTCATCCAATTTTGATATATCTTAAAGGCCCGGGTTTCTTTCGAAATTGGCAGGTATTGGACCATAGCTTTCTGGATTATGACCCCTAATTTACGAAGTATTACGATTTTAGCCCGTGGACACTCTAGAGGTCACCATTTTTTTTTTATCTTATTTCAAAAACCGTTCAAATGTATCACTGTTACATCATAATTACGCAAATATTATAAAAGCATGTAATACCAAGTTTGTGGGCCATCTAGAGGTCAGATGTTTTATCCGATTATGAAGTTAAATTGAGTATCAATAGCAAAATATGAAATATGTATGAAGTTTTTGGACTTTTCTATGTAAAGCTACAATTTTTGTCCGATTCATGAGATGAAACTTAAAGGACAATATTGGTGCCAGCTATTATCACATATTGATAGAACTGGTTTAAAACATAAAGCAATTGACTGTCATTAGATAAGGGAACACGAGAAAAATAGAAATAGTCCGTATATTCCCTTGTTTTTTTTTCTTCATTCTATACCTTATAAAACATGATAATGCACGGACTTTTTCTATTTTTCTATAGTCTTCTCTTATCTAGTGACAGTCAATTCGTTTTATGAATTGTCAGATATCCTCTCACAGTCAGTCTCACACAAAAACTTTTGGTCTTCGAAGGAATTATTAGTGAACAGAAATTCGCCCATGTATCTGTTATCACTCGTCACTTCAGTCAGTTATATAGAGGGATAACTCGTGTTTTCCTTTTGCGTTCGTCACTTCCCAAACATGCATTACGCATCTATCGTATCAGTGATCTCTGTGTTAAAACTATATTTGGAATGTGTTTAACCAGTTCTCTCACATATGTGATAATGACTGACACCAGTATTGTCCTTTAAACTATGTGTTAAGTATCAAAACTTGATACGCAGCAGACCTCACATTCTAGAGCTATAGCCCCTGCTTTTTACACAAGATGTGAAATATGTATGAATTTTTAGGCAGTCCAGAGGGGCTTTATTTGTTGCCCCATTTTAATGAAACTTAACAAATATGTTAAGGATCAAAAGATCTTGAATGAGTGGATGAGCCCTATTGATTTTACCTCTTCCCCATACATTGCTTGGAAAATGTGGGCGTATTTTGCATGGCACCCGCTTGTTTGAACTGGTCAGTGAATTATTTCATAGATAAGGGACACAGGGACAGAGTGTGAGAAAAACTCTATCCCGTCTTTTTTTTTAAAATTACCTAATCTATCATAGATACAACGGGAGTGAGATGGGGTTGAAATAAAGATCGATTATTCAGTTAACTAATCGCGAGCCTCGCAATTATAGACGTACGAGCCCCCCAACTTTTGGGCAGATGGGTAAAGTGAAAACAAAAATTAATATTTCATCTAGTTGGCAAAATGAAGTGCCCGAAATATAATAACACACTAAGTTTACTTTTTTTTACCGCGAATTTGTACTGAATTGACTATGGAGTCACTCTACCTTGTGCGATATTTTTTCGGGCATCGATTATGTTTTGTGAATGCACCTGCAACAGTCTGATTGGATGGTTGGAATTCGAGTCGGCATAGGGCTGTATTTCGGTTGAAGTTGCTTAATACACGGGCTAGAAAAGCAGAAAGATGTTCCCCACCCCCATACCCCGCGACGATTGATTGGTCTCTGCTTTTCTCTCGTCTGCTTCTCTACTCCTCCCCGCTCGTCTGTCAGCAAACTCCCTGTTATATACCCTCCGACATTAGATAATTGTAATAATTGTTTCTTTTATCTCGTCATGGTATGTTTACTGACCAGTGTGTATTCCTTTGAAATAATACAGAGCGTGTGCACAGATCATATGTAGTTTGTAAATGACATATGGGATTAATTACACATGTTTGATTAGAACGTGACTAAAAATAAGTATATACAGAGTTGAAAAGTCAATATAATATACTCTTCAAAAAAAGTAGGGGGTGTTGAAATGCAATTACCTATGCAGGTTTTGATATGATAAATAGTCATGGACACTTGAACTTATCGCCCCAACAGAACCCCTGAGCTGCACATGCGACACGCAATAGCGCCATACACGTGGGAGGGGTTCATTGTCAAACTTGACACTTCAAGGAAGGGTTGATGAAAACTGCCGCGTGCTGGTTTATCTATCCATGTTTGCTTTCCTATCCGTTCTTGCATAAGATATACTGTTTAGCGTATCTTTTCATTAGTGTGTTACGTTTAATTTGATCGGGAGACGTTTTCGTCGACGTCAACGTCAACGGACAACACAGCAAGAATTGGCCGTGGCACTGGAAGAGGAGTGGGTCAGATTGTCCCAAATCGTGATTGGACGGTTGATTAGGAGCAAGCCACGACGAATTGCTGAATGTCTGAGGATTGGTGGAGCAATTACTCATTATTAAGACAAAAATCAAAAACGTCCATTTTCACTTTTGACGGTGTATCTCTTTGCGGAT